GAACCAGGGAGTTTCTAAGGTCCATAGAATATGGAAGCCAAAAACCAAAAACTTATGAAGGGAAAAGAAAATCTAGGAAATAATGACCTCTTTAATACCACAAATATTAATGAACAAAAAATAAATCCTAGAAATAGTAATCAATGAGGGCATCTTGATCAATTCAAACTAGCTACACAATTATTCTCATCCCCTAGAGTTCTAGAACAATAGTCGGGGAGCATCTTTTTCCCCCAAAAGAAATAATAACATGAATTCAAAAAAGGACTATTTTCCCCACATAACACCTCCAAAAAACAAAAGGTAATAGAATTTTGAAAAGCCAAAACACAATAGAATCATAAAAAAATTTCACACCTCAACCTATATATACCTATATATATGGTCCCAAGAGCAATACACCTCCAAATCCAATATGAAAACCCTAAAAAAAACAAAAAACATCACAAACATCTTAATAACCCCTTCCCTTCCAATCCAAGATCTCGCCCTCTCATTCAGGGAACTTTATTCATCAATTCCAAGAACTACCTTCACACCATATTTGAAGTATTGGTATGGATTTTCAGTTAAGATGGAGATCAAAGAATGGAGGGTTCCTCTCAATTTATCAACAATCTCAACCTGCCAAACCCATATGGTCTACCATCCCTAGACAAGCTTTTGTATGTATAGCATTAACTGAAACAGAGGTGGAAGAGAGCAGGGGATCATTTGTCACCAAAGATAGAGATGTTCATTTGGTATGTAATTTCAAGACCATTGAAGAAATAAGGGTGATTAATCTATCTAACTACAATTTAGAAGCAAAACATCAAGTCAAGTCTTTCCATCTTTGAACAATGAGTGACAGTTTACACATTCAAGTCAAACTGCTTTGCTAATAAGAGGAAAAATTTTCAGCGTGAAGAGGAAAAAGAAGCTTCAAATTTCAAGCTCTATTGACAACTCGCAACTGTGGTGGGAATGTAGGCTGGCACAGATGTTGTACGCTAGGTTTGGGATGAATTGCAAACCTACAATGTTCTCGTATCAGCATTCTAGCTGCAAGTGATGCATTTACTTGGGTATAAAGAGAGAAAAAGATTACCAAACAAATAAGGGACATAAATATTCATACAATGGCATAATCATTTGTTTGTTTTTGATAAATTTACATCTTTATTCATGCTCCAAAATATAGTCACTCCTATTATTATCTGAAAGATTTGAATTGATAATAGTTTAAGGTTCTCAAGCCTAATATATTAATATATTCTACTCCATGTATCAACATCAAATTGTCGTAATCTACAAAAAAGTAAAACTCATGAATAGATTGATCAACTATGACTCTTGCTCAATTTGATAGATACCCCCTTTCTATTTACTTGTTCACAGTTTGATATAATGATCTTGGCATGAAATTTATACAGAAAATGAAGAAATGAAGAAAATTAGTTGATAAGTTTACTATATGGGAAGATGTTACACAAATAGATAAGGACGGAAGGCTGGTCAAATGGGCTATAGAGCTCAGTGAATTCGATATCAAATACAAACCCAAAATTGCAATCAAAGGGCAAATTCTGATAGATTTCATAGCAGAATTTACTACAACCACAGAAACACCTATGGAGGCAACCCAACTAGTACCCGACCTCCCCACATGGAAGCTTTAAGTAGATGGAGCTGCCAACGCCCAAGGAAGCGATGCGAGATTGATCCTAACCTCTCCTGATGGAATAGATGTTAAGTATGCCCTCCAATTCGGTTTCAAGTCTTCAAACAACGAAGCAGAATATGAATTTATTATCACTGGACTCAATCTAGCCCACTCAATGGAGGTAGAATAGCTCAAAATCTATAGCGATTCCCAACTCGTGGTAAAAAAAAATATAAGAGACCTATGAGACTAAGGGAGAAAGAATGATCCTATACCTAAAAAAGGTAACGGAACTGATAAGGAAATTTGTGCGAGTCAAAATCAAGCATGTCCCCATAATTGAGAATTCTCGAGCAAACACTTTAGCAAGGCTTGCAACGGCTTCTCAAGAGAGCCTGGATAGGTTAATCCCAGTAGAGCACCTAGCTGAACCATCGGTGAGCTATGAAGACAAAGAAATGTTCCCTATCTTAGTCTAACTAAGTTGGATGGACCCAATTCAGAATGGAACTTTGTCAACAAATCCCAAAGAAGCCACGAAACTAAGGGCTAGGTCATCCAGATTCATGATCCTACAAGAAAACCTATATAAGCGAGGCTTTTTAATCCCTCTCCTTAAATGTGTAAAAGACTAGGATGCTAATTACATACTAAGGAAAATCCACGAAGGCATTTGAAGTAATCATATTGGAGCTCAAGCTCTGGTAGAAAAAGCACTGAGGCAAGGATACTTCTAGTCCACTCTGCTCAAAGATGCTGCAAACTTGGTTAAAAGGTGTAAGATTTGCCTGTTGCACGCTAACATCCCACATTGCCTTCTAGAGCTCCTCACCTCGGTGGTAAGCCCTTGGCCTTCCAACAATGGGGGCTGGACATACGTGGACCTCTTTCCTCTTGTACTAGACAATTAAAGAGTAAAAAGTTCAAAACTTCACCTGAAAATCCATAATCTGCAAGTTTGGAATACCCAGGGTAATTGTCTCAAACAATGGAAAGCAATTTGACAATCCCAATTTGAAGAAGTTCTATGCCGAGTTTGAAATAAAAAATTACTTCTCTGCTCTAGCTCATTCTCAATCACATAGGCAAGCAGAAGTGACTATTCGAACCATAAAAAGGCTTTGAAAACCAAGCTAGAAGCCCTAAAAGGGAAATGGGTGGAGCACATCCTAGAGGTGTTGTAGGCTTACAAAACCAACTAAGACGGAAACTCAGAAAACACCATTCACGTTCATGAATAAACGATGAGCTCATCAGCTCATAAACAAGCAATGGACTCTTCAGCTTATAAAAGATGAGCCCTTCAGCTCATAGTAACCAATAGAGTAAAATTGCAAGGAAATAAGCAAAGAAGAAAAGGAGATTTTTATTCATAAATATGATGGAATACAAGGAGAAGAAAAGGAAAAAGCCCTAAGCCCCTCCAGGCTCTCTTTTCAGTTCAGATATTTCCTCTTTCAAACGAGCATTCACAGCCTGCAAATAAGCATTCTCTTCCTTTAGCTCATCATGTTCCCTCTCCACTTTTGTGAGTAGCTCTGAAAGTTTCAGCTCAACAGTAGAAAATAAAATACCATCAAAAGAGGAACCAGACGACTTAGATAAGGAGTCGCTCCTCCTAAGTTTCCTTGAAGAGGTGGAAACAACCTCATCCTCATCTGACTCAACAACAGAGGAATCTACATCAAGAATAGGAGACAGAGGGCTTATGATAGCGTCTAGAGCAGTAATAGAAGTTCCAAACCAAAGAAGGTTCTGCAGAGTGACTAGCAAAGAGAAGGGAACCACCTCATCATAAGCCACTTGGTTGAGCCACACCAGCTCTGCCGGGGTCAAATTGGGGGCGCCTGTACAGTAAAAGCACAATAAGAACCGATCATAGCATTCACAAATCATAAAAGGGCAAATCTTGAGCATGTACCTTTGTTAGATAAGCAATCCCATGAACGAAGGACCTAGGAATGAGCATATCGCTGCTCAACGACCTCCAAGAGTCCCCAGAGGTAAAGAAAAAACTTTTAGCCCACCCTTCAAGAGAATTTGGAACATCAAAGATCAATGGAGGATCAAAGTGACGCCTCCATATGAAACGAATGAAGTAGAGGAGCATGTCATAATCAAGTTCATAAAAGTAGAGAAACTCAGAATTTCATAACAGTAGAGAAACTCGGCAACAGTAGAAAATTCACTATTGCCATGCAGGCACCAAAAAATAAAGAAGCTGATCATAACACCCCATCTTTCAGGAGAAAAACAAGAGGGGCACAACCCAAAGAATGCCAGAATCCACCCAATGACGGGATGGATGGGTATATAAAGACCCATCTCGAAATCACCTTCAAAAAAACAAATTTCTCGTTGGGGGAGAAAGTTGCAGGCCCATCAAGAGTTGGGACTTAGAGGGGGAAGTCAGCAGGAAAAAGATATCGCCTCTTGATTTCTTCTAACTCTATAGTGGTAATCACATAAGGAAGTAGGAAATTAGAGTGCCACACTATGTCAATCGTGGCTTGGGCTCGTTGTTTGAACAAGGGAGTAAGAAAGGGAGCCATGAAAATCGGAAAGAAGACAAAAAAAAAAAGCAAAAAAGACTCAGGAAGAATGAGGAACGTGAAAAAGAAATTCTAAGATTTGTAGACAATAAAAAAATCCCAAGTTTTATGGAAATAGTAGGGAATCTTGAGCATTAAGGGAGCAAGAAATGCGTAAAGACGAAGAGGCGGCCCCTTAAGCTTCCAAAATCATGACGGTGGAGGCATTTTAAGAAGGTAGTTGGGCACAAATAACAACCCATTTATCATTTCCATGCAAAAAGAGCAGAGCAACTAGGCATGGGCCCGTGAAAAGTAGAGCTCAGACTCAAGTAACTTAATCCAGTTAATGGCTCCCCAGTCAAATCGAAGGTGATTTCTTCAGCTCATAAGAATGAGCTTTTCAGCTCATAAAGATGAGGCTTGTTCCAACGCAAGCTAAGGACGAGCTATTTGTGTTGAGCTAAGATAACTACATGGAAAATGAGCTCTTCAGCTCATAAAGCTGAACTAATTAAGTTAGAAAAAGTTACTTCACTTATAAAACTCTTCAGCTCGCAAGATCCCTTCGAGTCAAAGAAACAAGACCAGAACCTCAACTTGAGCCATGGTCAGGTTCCAGATCTCATACTTCAAGGAGAACTAAGATATCCTCAAAGCAAGGGGCAGAGGGGAATAGAAAGAATGCAAGAGCACAGCATATCAATCAAAAATACAACAATTTAAAAGCAAAAAGTGATTGGTAAAAAACAATATTTTCTTATAAATAGCTAGTTGCAAAGTCCTTTACAAAAAAAAAAAAAAAAAGAAGCAAAAATAGAAGTCTAAGTGCCTGCAGTCGAATCCGGGATCTCAGGTAGCTCAAGCAACTCAAGAATCTCAGGAATAGTAGCTAATGTGGACTCAGTATGAGCCTCAGGGAGCTCAGGAGGCTCGGGAGGAATAGAAATATTGGCATATGTAGAAAGAGCCATAGACGTAAGGACCTCGGCAGGGAAAACAGATACTTTAACAGCCACAAAGGCAGAGACCTCGGCAGATGAGACGGGTACCTTGACACCTTCAAGAACAAGCTCAGAAACAGTGGGCGCCAAGACCTCAGCCTCCTCCTTAGCGCGTGGCACCTCCTTCTCCTTATCTGAAGGGGGTTCAAACTCAACATCTAGGTCCGGATACTTTGCCACAACTTGATCCTAAAATGCAAGGTACCCAGTAGCCCAATTGGTGGTAGCCTCATCCTCTAACTTAGCAATCAAAGCATCCTTGTTTTTAACGGCAGCTCTCTCAACCTCAATCTCTATCTGTAGAGTGTCATTCACTTCAACCAAGATGTTGTACTCTCTCTTCATGGCCTCGTAAGACTCAAAAGCCTCAAAGTCATCCTTACGAGTTTGAATCAAATTGACAGTCTTCAATCGAAGCTCTTCCTTGGTCTTTTTGAGCTCATCCTCAGCTTTTTCTTTCTCAACCTCCAAATCCTTATTAGCAAAAGACAACTTCTCCACTTGCGCTTGCAAGTCTTGTACCTGAACCTTGAGGTCCTCATTAGAGAAAGCCAACTCGAAAACCTTGAGCTTAGAAGCCTTCAATGCCTTGGCTGAGCTCTCCAAAGCCCTAATCCTATTTGTCAGAGTGCTCACATGAATGGCCAGCTAGAGGAAAACACAACCAAAGGCTAGAATCAGTACAGAACGACAATGCGAGACAAAAATGAAACTGGGAGAAATAGAAACTTAACGAAGTAGCACCACATAAGGCGGTAGTAACAGAGGCAGAGAGGGGGTATGACAACAACCTTTTGGATGTTAGACTCAGGGATAGTTGAGGAAATGGCCTCGGCAGCAAGTTTCACGTCACCAACAAGCGAAACCTTGCCTTTCTTGACCTTCAAGCCCTCCACCAGTAGATGATGAATCCTCCTAACAGATCTGGGGGAAGGATGCCCATGCAGGATAAGAGGAATCGACTCCAAGGCCCCCTCAACCTCTGCTAAGGTGCGAGATGCTAAAGTTATAGCTTACTCAAAAACCCCTCCAAGAGAAGAAGGCAAGGTCCCTTGAGGAATTGAGGCCTGTGCGACCTTCAATGAGATCGATAGAGGAGTAGAAACCACTTGGGAAGGGAGATGAGAAATAAGGGTGCCTCTATCCTCAACACCTTTGCAAGGGGAGCAGAATCACTTCCTGACCTGACCTCAACCTTGCATTTTCCTCCACTCCTACTCTTCCTCAGTAGGGCAACCATCGCCTTCAAAGCTTCAACATATATAGCCATTGAACTAGAACCTAGAAACCCAAAGAAAATAGATTAGAAAGGAAAAATAAGTAAAATAGAAGATAAGGATAAAATAGAGGATGTGTTACCTGCAACCTCCTCTGCACTAGAGACAAAAATAGGAATAGGAGTCTCTACAGCCACCTTGGCAGGGCTGAACTCTAGTTTGGTAAGTACAGAATACTTGATCAAGTTAGAATACTTCTCCGGGCGACAATCTGAAAGCCCTAGCAAAGCAAGCCTGTCCTCAGCTCCTAGCTCAGGGCGAATACCTAAAGCAACCCAAGGGAATGAGGTCAACAAATAGAACAATAAAATGAGACAAGTTGAGCCTACCCTAGACAAGGACTCACCCAGTTTATCAGGACCTGACCAAGAGTGTGGGACAAGAACGGTATCATTGGCATCACTCAGATCAAACTCCCACTCTTTCTTCGACACAAAGAAGAATAGTTTTTCCTAATTCTTGTGAGAGTTGGGTAGGTCAGTGATCAAGGTTGGGGTCTTTACCCGCTTGGAGATATACAAAAAGCCGTCAGGTTGGAACTTAACATTGAAGAATTTCATGAGCAAGGGAACCAAAGGGGTACCGATCTTATTTTTCTTAAAGAAGACGAGGAGGCCCGCCAGGACACCCCAAAAGTTGGGGGAGATCTAAGCAGGGCAGACATTGAAATACTAAATGACAGATTTGGTGAAGGGATGTATAAAGAACCGAAGCCCATTCTCTAGAGAAGCTAAGAAGACGCAGGTCTTCCTAAGGACCTCAAAATTATACCTAATATCTACAGAGGGGATCCAGTAGCACATGCCCTTGAGAAAATCAAACCTTGCAGACAAGACACTCATAAGAGGAGGCATAACCTCATTGTGACCAATAAGGTTTAAAATGCAAGGAATGGGTTCAAAGCCCTCAACGCTACATGTAGGTCCAGCTCTACCCTTTTTGGCCTTTCCTTTTCGAGATTGCTTAGAACTCAAAGAAGACCCTAGTAAAGTCAGAGGTGCCTCTGCCTTCTCCATGGCATCAACCCTAGGGAAGTTGTCTATTTTATCACCAACATCCCCCAGGTCGTCCTCTTTTACACCTAGGGACCTATCACCCATAAGGAAAACAGATGAAGTTGTAGCTTCGGAAAAGGCAAACATAATTGGGCAAGAGAAAGGAAGTCTGAAAGAACTATAAATAGGGGGAATGCGAGTAAAAAAATCCTTAAGGGCCCAGGGGTCAAGACACGAGCGACCGAAGAGAAAGACACTGGCAGTAGAGTAAGGATCCAAAAAGAGAGGAAGAAAAGACAAAGAAAGACCTCGATTCCTAAAATAACAAAAGCGAAAAGTCCAAAAATTAAATTATCACTTCGAATTCAAGGGATCCAGAATGAAAGAAAAGAAGAAGAAAAAGAGCAAGGGATGTACCTAGTTGAGAATGATTGACAAACCAAGAACTAAGAAAAAGTCTTATGAGGTCCGCCACGTAAAGCCTTTGAAAAAATTGGGGATTTTTTCTAAAAAACCCTAGATCCTCAGCAAAATTGGGAAGACAAAGTTGCAAGGAGAAAATTAGAGTCAGGAGACAGAATATGAAGAGGGTTTGAAGAAATGAAAGGCGGTTCTTTGTCTGCAACCACATTTAAAACAAAGAGTACACGATCATCATAACCGTCAGAATGAAGTCCCATCATGCATGAATTAAGGTCAACCCAGGCAACCTTACTCATGGCATAATCTCTGCTCAAGCCAACCTATTTGACTAGGGACTGGGGTTCAACTGATGGTACCACAAAATTTCTAAGGATGAGCTCGGTAACCCAAGTCATGCTACCCAGATCGAGAGCTCAGCTCATCAATATTACTTGTAGACCTCAACTCCCCATGTCAATATCTCAAGGAAGTTTGCACAAAGGACAACTAGATCCCACCAAGTCCTCCTCTTTTCTTGGCATCAATCACCTAACAGACGCAAGTTTAGCAACGCAATGAGGGAAAACTGTTACAAGGGAAGGGCGAGGATCTCGCCCTAGATCAAACAAAGCCTAGGAATAACTATAAATAGAATGCAAGGCTCTCGAAGAGTAGGAGAACCATTGTAGCCTTACAAAATATTCTCTATAAACCACACACAATTACTAATAGATTCAAGGGCAAGAGACTTCCTTAAAAGTGGATTTGTTGAGCTCCAGAGCTGGTAAACCACTATAACCACTGTGTGTAATCATCCATTAATCCCAAAAAAATCCTATTTCTTATAGCCTTGAAGCTCAAAATGTATCCAATTGTGTTAATAACATCATCAATGGAATTAAGAAGAGCCTGGAGAAAGCTAAGGGAAAATGGGTGGAAAAGCTTTTGAATGTCCTTTGGTCTTATAGGACGACTTCGCAGATCGTAATGGGCGAGACATTTTATGCCCTTGCCTACGAAGTAAAGGCAATTATCCTATTAGATATGGACCTTGCAGACAGAACGACCAACAACCAGCTTGGACTTGGACCTGGTGGAGGAAAAAGGAGAAGTAGCTGCTTTGCGGTTAGCAAGATATCAAGAAGAGATGTCCAAACACTACAACAAAGGAGTTAAACCCCAAAAGTTTCAAGTAGGAAACCTGATGCTTAGACGGATATTAGGGAAGTACTCATTACTCGACCGATGGGATGATGGGACCTAACTGAAAGGGACCATATAAAATCATATCAGTGGGAGATTCTAGGTCATACAAGTTAGAAGATATGGAAGGAAATGTTGTACTTCGGCCCTGGAATGTAATGAATTTAAAAAAGTACTATTTTTGAGAAAAAAAAATGCTTATTTTCACTAAGTGTACTACCCTGGATGGGGTAGGGCCCTAGAGGCAAGTCTTCAAGGACTCCTGCCTCCAAAAAGATAAAAGGAGCAGTGCCTTCGAGGAGGCAAGCTCTTCAAGGAAGACTTGCCCTCAAAGAAACAAAAGGAGCAAAGCCTCCTGGGCGGGTCACGGCCTTGGGGGTAAATACGTTAAATAAACTCTTGCCACCAAAGAGACCCATGGAGTAAAGCCTCATAGAGGAGGCATGGTCTTAGAGGCAAGTCTTTAAGGACTCTTGCCTCCAAACAGACCCAAGGAGTAGATCCTCTTGGATAGGCATGGCCCCAAAGGCAAGAAATAGAAATTAAAATTGCAAGGAAAGAGAGAAAGTTGCTCTGTGGAGGACTAGTGACATTACCCCTGATGTCGCCGAAAAGCTCATCCATGCTAGTATAGAAAGAGTCAGCACTACGTGGAGTAGGCACAACATTGGCATGAGCAAAGGAGGCCTTGCCTAGGGGGCAGGATCAGTGTCGACAGGGGCAAGATCTGCGTCAACAAAGGCAGGGGCAACGTCGACAGAAGAAGGAACGACCTTGGGCAAAGGAGCGGGATCAGCCTAAGGGACAAGAGTTGGAGTAGCATTCTTGGCTGGTGGAGCTTGATCAGGAACTTAAAAAGCCCCAATTTCTTCAACCTCCACCTTAGTCGCAGCTTGCACCATCTCGGAAGAGGGGAAGTCTTCAGGCTCTTGAAAGAGACAAGACTCGGAAGGGACCTCGGTGGCCCAAAGTGCCTTATGCCACCCCTTTTTGAAGAGAACTCCCTCTTCGTCTACTCGAATGCCACCACGATGTCTTCGGCACATCTATTAACGATCTTTTGATCTGACATTTTGTTGGCCTCCATCTCAGACCTTAACTTGTCCAACTCTTAAGTGATGGAGGCATAAGTCTGCTATAACTCGACTACCCTCACCTCGGCTATAGACACCTGCTTTGTCGCCTCAATTATCTTCTTCTCGACAACTGCGAGCAGGGCCTTGATCTTATTAGCCTCTGCCTTGGCGCTTTGGCTCTCTTTGAAGAGCTTAACAATCTGGACCCCCAAGTGAACAACGTCTTATCTTGGGCAACCACCTCCTCCTTGACCGTAACAAGTTCCCTAAGGACTTTCTCAAGGTCAGAATGGAGTTTCTTTCACTCCTGGACCTTGCCCCGATGGGCATACAAAGGCTCCACAAATGATGTATACCTATTATGCTTCCTGAAAGACAAAGGGAGAAAAGTTAAGTGCCAAAGGAGACGCTAAAGCAAAAAGAAAAATCTACGTGTGAAAACCTCACCATCAACGAGTTTTGGATCAAAGAGCAAAATAGATAACTACTCCCCCACCCCCAGTGGATCGCCATGTCGGCTTCAAAATGGATTACTTCACTCATGGCGTAGGCAGTGTGAGGAGGGCCAACGAGGGAGTCAATCACTCCATTCGGTTGGTTGTCGCGATCTCGGGCCCTACCACGTAACTCTAGAGCAGTTTGAGACATCAGTGTCAGTGTAGGAATGCCTCTATTGTGGCTAGCACCATCATGCCTTTGCATTATTATTCTTTCCTCGACTTGAGGATCTTTGCCGTGGACTCGATCGCGTCTTGGCGCTGTCAAAACTAGGGGGCGTCGGCTAGTGGAAAGGCTAGAGAAGCTATCGGCTAGGGGATTAAGGTCTTGCAAGGACGAGTGCATCCTTGATTGGGGCTCACCTCGAAGACCAAACCTTGCCTCCATCCAGTGGCAAAGTGCAACTCTTTCTATGATCAAGTTAAGAGAAAGGGTAGGTGGATTGGACATGGCGATCTCCAAGACATCTTCCTCCTTGAGATTTTGAAGAATATCAAAGTTGGGCCAAACAACCTTGGATTAAGTGCTCTTCTCGACATGCATGGTGGTGGATGAATCCCTTACTACCTCAGCATCGGCAATTGTGTCTGGAGCAGCATCTACCTCAACGTTGGTGGGGCTGTCAGGATCCTCTTCCAAGTTTTTGCCGGATAATGCTGACCACCTAGCCAGATCAAATGGTTGGGGTTTTGAGAGAATTTTCTATACTTTGGGGTGTAGTCGAGCAGTATGTGAGCGACTTGGCCAAAATTGTTCCCCAAGTAGCCCTAGATGATGTAGATATCGCCAAGATTGACAAGATTCTAAGGAAGCGCAGCAGATTCAGCGTCGATTACTCCTGCAAGGAATACAAAGAAAAAAATTAGATATAAGTACAAAAAATTGAGGTACTGAAAGCTAGAGAGAGAGAGAGAGAGAGAGAGAGAGGCAGACGTAATTGTAGTCTGCCTCTACTGGGGGCACCACAAGTCGGCGTACTCGGGGTCGACTCCCCTCTCCCATTGGTTGTCGAAGATGAGCAAATTATCCTTGTACCCCTTGTCGGAGTCTGGCAGGTGTGTCACTAGGTACATGATGGGGTCTTGAGCCTTGAGGTAGAATTTCTGTTAAGGCATCACCCTCACCAAAGAATAACATAAAAGAATCTCTTGCAAGCTAAGGTTCAATTGTAACTACTCATTCAAAGCGACCACCCCATAATGATCCTAAAGGTGTTCAAGCAACAATGTCTCGAGAAGAGGCAAAATCGAGACAAAAAGCAGAGAAGAAGGGGGTACAAGGGAAATCTGACGCCACCCTCCATGATGGATTTGGTATAGAAGGGCATGGCCGCCTCGATGTTGACATGGGCACTATGGAGTCTGGGTACGAACTCATTAACGATGACCCCGAAGGGAATGGAGTAATGGATTTTAAAGTTAGTGATTTGTTGGCAACCCTTGACTGTATATTTCCTCGCCCTTGAGGGACTAGCCTCATCGGCTCTGACATTCCTATCCCGATGACGCCTTGTCATGGACAGGTAGAAAGAAAACTCGAAGACGGGTCACTAAGGATGGGTTGATGGGGACTGGGAGGTAAAACGGTGCAACTACTGGGATGGTAAAAGGAAGACAGGACAATCTGACCACAAGGAAAAAAAAAAAGAAGGGGAAATGCCACTGCTAAAAGGGAAAAAAATTAGTTATTCACCAGTGAATAGAACTTCGAAGGAGGAAGGAAGGCAGTGATATTCATTCTTTGCTGGTGAATATAAGGGAAATAGTGGCTCCTTTTTCAATGATCAATCGGCTTCCTAGCAGGAACTCTAGCTAAAGGCTCTAGACTCACAAGGTATTTGCAAAAATAGAAGAAGGGGCGAAGGCTTTGTTTAAATAAGAGCCAAGGCTCATCATTGTGCAAGAAGAATGAAGGGGGCGCGTTAAATGAGGCACGAAGCCCAAGGAAGGGAAAACGGTTACATGAGGAAACAAGGGTTGAGCCCTTTTATCTTCCTCTACCACCTCACCCTCACTGTACAAAGATCAAGGGGGCAATTGATGGATGTTTCCACTTATTGATGGGAAGATAGCACATGGCCTCGACATGATATACATGGAGACTTTATGAAACGACACGTGTCCTTGGCGTGAGTCCCCACGAATCTCTTTGTGATTGACACGTGTCCTCGACATAACAAACTCATACCCTCCATGAAGTGATAGGTGTCCTCGGCTTGAGTTTCCCTCAAAGCTCTCTGAGACTAGCACATGTCCTCAACATTTGCATCCCCCTAGAGCTTTCATCGCTTGACACGTGTCCTTGGCATTTCAAGTCCCCCAAGGGACTCTCCACCGGACACGTCTTCTCGGCATTAAGTCCTCCACGCGCGCGAAGGGTAATGTTTTAACGATTTTCGTGACTTGGAAGCGGAGTTATCTGCCAATGATCAGTTCTCCTTTCCAAGGCGATCAGTGTGGCAAGAAAGACAGTCCACTAACTAATGATAAGGGTGTACGAAGTATAAAGCTTTGAAATGTCAGTCCCTTCGGAGGTAATGGACGAAAGTACCCTTGCGCATATGCAGCCATAATCAGGTCACGTTAAATGTTCCCCTCAAAAGGATAGGATGTATTTATTACTCCGTAGGACTAGAAAGGCGAACATTAAATGCCTAGAGATCCGAGCATTAAATGTAGAAATTTCTATCACATGAAAAGAAAGGCTCACTACTCGAGGATTGAACACCACCTATCACCACTTGTTGCCTTCCAAATTAGCCAATGAGGAGCCTTCCCTCCAAGGCACCTAGTAGTTTATAATAATTAACTCTAAGGAGGTATAAATAGATCTCACAAACACAAGTCTAAGGTATGCAAAATCTCACCCAAGCAATAGAAGAGTGTTTTCCAACCCTCTCTAACATACTGACTTGATCGTCAGAGGGGTCACATCAAAAAACACTCTGGCGCCCTTCTAATCCTTCTTTTTGAGTGACTCAACTCATTTAGATTACCCAAGGGTGACCAGATAGTTTGCGGAGAGATTCATTATGAATTCTCAACACCTACTTACTGTGGAGCCTTCGACTTTCTAGGTAAATTCAAGTTCATCATATGAGAGATCTTTCAATTCATTCATTGTGCCAGAATCACTACACACAACTATAGTCATTGAATCAATGATAAGACCCACTGATCTAACAACTGTAAGTGATTTGGTAAGTTTTGGTACACATAGCATTGCTCTATTTTCATATGTTACAATAATCATCTTGCCACCTAGGCGAAAAAATACCACACAATAATATTCGTGGTTCCATAACTTTTCTCGAAGTTCTATTTCATTACACCACAATTTCACACATAAATAACCGTCTTGCCACCCAGGCGACAAAACACCACACAAGTTAATCACCATATTAATATACGATTGTCATTCAGGCAACTTAACAAAATATATCCTTTTCTCAATATTCTATTTTTTTGAACAACTCACACCACATCAAAAATTTAGCTTCCGTCACTTAGACGAAATCAGCTTTAACTTATCTCAGTCACAAGGACAAATTTGAACACTTGGGTTACTTTTAGTCACATAGACATCACAGTCTAACAATTCGCTTTCGTCCCTTTGACGTCTTCACTACGCAAATAAAATACGTCACATAGACATCCGACCCTTTATTGTCTCAACCATTTAATTTTTCTTTCTGCTTATCACACAGACAACTAAACCATAATATTATAATTTGTCACGAAGACATCTTATTCCTATCGTAACATTAGAACACTTAAACCAATTATTCACAATAGAACTCATAAGCTAGAAAGTCACATAGAAACAAATAAACCTTTAAATGTAGATAAAATCAAATTTTAGCATACATACGTACCTTGCTGAAAATTTATCGTGTTAATGACTCATCTGCTGGAGCTTTTTGAGCAGCGTTCTTTACGACACTCGTTCCTGAACCTGATACCCATTATTCAAAATCTAATTCGAGTATTAATAAATAATACCGCTTTACTCGAATTGGTTTACACAAGCAAATTTCTTAATTTAATCAAT